CCAGGTGATATTTGGAACATCGTAAAAGCATTGCAAATAAATAGATTTGTGCAAGTCAGACAGTTTACGGGTCTCTGTTACAGCACTGGACTCATTTTTTTATTTGCATTTGAATTGAATGTATTTATTTAAAAGGGACAGTGCAGTTAAACATAGTTCAAGACATAAGACTGATGTACCGCACATAAGTTTATAGCTACTGCTAATTTTCAGCAATTGTCCCTTGTTGGGCTTACAATCTAAATAAATACATATTACAATAAAACATACATTTTCATAAAACCAAATTACATCATAAATACAATTACAATTGATAGACAATTTAAAATAAAATTAAAATGACTACAACTTTGGTTTCCCTTTAACCACACTTTAACCTTCAATGTAAAGGATCTAATGTCTGTAATCAGTTTGATATCGGTTGGAAGTGTGTTCCACAGATGGCAAGCCTTTATAGAAAAAGCTGACTGACCGAATGTAGATCTGCGATATAATATCTTGCAGTTGCCGTTCCCTTTACTCCTAGTAACACGATTACTGTCTTGTCTCTGAATGTATCTATTGAGACACTCTGGGGCCATCCTATTTATACATTTACAAACTAATTTAACACCAATGATTAAAACTCTTAAAACTAAGTAAGTTATATTTCTGTAAAATGTGACAATGATGCCACCGAACCGATTTTTTATCCATTATTTTTAAGGTTTGATTATATAATGATACCACTGGCTGAATTGTAGATGGTGCTGCTTGGGTCCAAACTGTCATACAATATGAAAAATGCGAAAATATCATAGAATGCATAAATAACTGAGCTGCTGAAGTGGGTATATAGTGACGAATTAACTTAAAACCATTCAGATTAGCCTTGACCGTCTTAGAAATCTTCTTTACATGCTTGTCAAATTTAAGATGTGAATCTAAAATTATTCCTAAAAACCTAAAATCTTTGACCTCTTTGTCAAGATTTGTGGACTCGTCGATAGATCTAGTAAAAAAAAAAAGCCTGTTGCATGCATGACAGTTTGCATAGAGAACAAATTGGTGAACGTTCATCAGATCAAGGATAAAGCTTTGCATGTGTCCTCCTTTATCTTACACTGGGCCTGGGTGAAGTTCATCTACTCGCTGAAGAAAAACTGTTGTAGCTCCTTTCCCCTCTCTTTAGGAAAGGAGCTGCAAATGGGTGCAGCAACCTGTTAACCATATTAGAGATATTCCCTCTCATACAAAACCAAGAGTGAAAGAAAACTGAGCGTTTAGAAAAGTCT